AAGATAAAGCTGCAGTTAACAACTCCATTGGCACATGGGTGGCACCAAACCCTCAAACAATCCTCATATCTATTTATTTATTTTCCCAGCACCACCCTTCACCCTCCAAGTCCCATCCCAGAAAAGGATACTATAATCAGTGGCACCAAAAGCTGCTGAGGGGTCCAGCACAATCAAGGGGCATGTTCTCCCTGTCCAACTCCCACCGTTGATCATTAACCAGAGCAACCAAATGTCCTCATCCAGACCTGAAATCAACCAAAATAATTAATGCTTACTATCATACAACTTCTGAATATGTTGTAGTTCCTGGTAAATCTTGTCCATCCACCTGTAAGGAGATTGTCCCTATTGTACCCAAGATGGAAAAACCTATAGTTTATTGTTGCATACTGGATGTTAGCAAATTATGTCAGATTATTCATTTTACCTTAGATAAGTCCCAACCCTTTTACTGATTCAAATGGAAATGTTACAGTTCTTTATTTGTTATTTGGGATTTTTCAAATTAGGTTGCTCTAGATTTCCACTAACCCAGAATAACCTAACAGTGAGCATTCTGAATAAATGCAAGTTAATCTTTTTTAAAAAACAAAAACAAAAAAGATCATATAATAATTCTCTTCTTTTGAAGCATGTCAAAATGCTTTTATTTATAAAATAAAATAAAGCAACCATCTGTTGCTTTATAACCTTGAGAATAGTAGAAATGTTGGCTGTTTTCTTTACAGTTCTACAAATGTATCCCAATTTTCTACAGTTGGTATGACTGTGAGATACCAAGTTGTTAGGTATAGAAATGTGTAAATATTTTGTTTCTGTCAAGATAGAAATAAAAGTCTGAATCCTATTGATGACTCCCAACTAGAGTTAGACCCCTTGAATCAACTGTTAAATGATGAGTCAACACATAGGAAAATCCTCTTGATTCAATGGGCCTACTCTCATTGGGACAAACAATTGGATGCTGGCCAAAGTGTATTAGGGGAACATTATAAGGAAGGCAAGCAAAGTGGAACTACAAGCCCTTACCCTTGAAAACTTTCAATAAAAGAAGCAATGCACTTTAATGATAAATGAAGTGCCTGTGTACACCAATGGTGTTGGGGAGGAACACAAGACTAAACAGGATTTGATTCTTTCTTAAAATATAAAACCAAAACAGAGGTAGAGAGGAAGAGCAGCTAACCTCTAGTGACTAAAGGTGCATTTGATCTGTTATTTTGTATTCCACACTCTTCAAAAGAGCAATATAAACAGAATTATTTATGCCCAGCAAAATGTTGCTTAATTACTTATGCACCACTGTTTGCTTGTATTTTAAGCTTTCTCTACCACCCACAGGCAGACGTTAAACAGCTGCTAAAAGCTAGCTTTAGTCTTGCCTGTTTGAAATTAGCATACTTGAGCTTTGAAAAAACTTTGTTGCCAATTTACATATGCATAGAGACTGATATTTAGACTCACCATATGATATGTCCCTCAAGAGCTTTTCTTATTGCTTCCATCCTCAGGTCTCAACCTAGAGACTGTAAATCTAGCAGGTGATTAATTCTATACCCTTGAGAAACTAGCAATTAGCACTTGCAACCAGTAAAAAATTGTCATTTCAAAACCTGTTTACTATGCCCATGTATCCTCTATGAACTCACAGTTAACTCTAAATAGATGTATATGGCAAGAGATTTACTGTCATTTCTTTCCCCTTTTTTATAAAGCAGAATACTGCTCCGAACTAATCAAGCTATTAAAATAGACTTGAAAATAAGAAATAATTGTCACCCTCAACCTCCCTCCCCCTTATATAAAATTGCAAGATGTAGCAAAGACAGTATGAAAATACTATATACACAATGTTTTAAGTAACCTAACCTTAATCAGCTCATTTCAACAGCAGATCTTTGTAGGTTTTACCTGTTCTGTGTCAATTCTTATCTCTGATAGCTGAAATTACCGTACTTCCAGATGTTCTTATGCATTATTGAGGTCTTCTGCAGTAGATGCTGGAAAAGGTAAGATAAGGTTTTATTTCTTTGTAGTAGTCACAACGCTGAGATCAAAGACAGCAAAGTGCAGTGCTTAGTATGGAAAACTATGATGAACTTAACATTTATTTTTCAAGTCGCACATCTCTCATAAAACTGCTCATCAGTCTTCAGTTACCTTTTTAGCGTTATCCCTCAGCCAACACCGAGCAGTTTTAAAGACTGGAAAATATGTGTATCTGTGTGTGTGTGTGAGAGAGAGAGAGAGAGAGAGAGAGAAAGAGAAGAGCTCTTTTAAAAAACAAAATAAATGGGTAGTAGGCATCAGCACAGAGAGTAGAAACAGCACATACTATAATATTATAGCAACATTTCAAGAATCACTCCAGACAAATGGAAAAATCATAACTTGTGCACTGAAGCCACTGCACAAATTAAACATTTCTAGAGCCATCATCAATGAGTTTCCTTTAAAATAACTCTCTTTGATTCTGCAACATTTATTAGTTACTTATAACTGTGCATGAGGTTGAAGATTTCTACCTCATATCAGGGTCACAGGCCATCATGTGAAAGAACAAAAGACATGCTATGTATTAATGGAACTTTGTTTTATTCTGTTTAAACCAACTAATGCCTTGAAAAGTCATTTAGCTGTGCTAAAGGGTGGAACAATGTTTTGGCATTTTTTCAATGCACATTCTATGCCAAATAAAAATTCACTGATAATTACTAACAAAAAGCCATTCTTATTCTAGTCATAGAATTATGCCTTCTTATTTTCATTTATTTCACTATCATTAAAAAAAAAAACTTCATTTTAAGAATAAGATATTTTCCTTCTTCCAAAGGAAATGTTGCTGCTCTGTTAAAAAGTCTCTTTATTTAGTTGCTAGTGTGACTGAATGCAAATCATGATCTCCGAATACATGCAAGCTTTTTTTTTTCAATGGGCCACTCCATAGAATGCATTATAGGATTGCAATCCCATGAATAAGTACCCTAAACCTTAATCAGGCATGTTCCTGAGTAGACATGTTGCACTGACAATTCAGTTTACTGATAGGGTAGCCTGTCTTGGGAGTAAGCCCCACTAAATTTAATGGGACTTGCTCTTGAATGCACAGGTATAAGATTGGTCCATTGGTAGAACATTATCTGCCCTATTTCCACTCATTTAGGTCTGAGCATATATAATCAGTAGCTGGCATTAAAAATGAGAGTTAATGAAAGTATTGCTATATTTGCAGTAGCTGCCATCATTAGGCCATGCGCTGCTAAAGCCTGCTAGACTTTTACTTTCCACTAATTACATCATCAGATCATCATACTGGTAATATCAGTAGCAGGGTACTTGTATACAACTAAATCCTGCATCTAATTACAATTTTAGTCTCTTTTCCTTATGACATCTTAGTGATAGATCATTATTTTTTCAGCAATTTGTTCGCATTTATATGCAATATAATTGGATCTGATTAATTATTATGATTAATGACTGCAGAATTTTCTTGCAAAGCTATTAATACTGGTAGTATCAAATGAAAGACAGGGACAAATTAAAGCCAGTGGAGTCCTGTGGCTTGCACTTACAGTGCCTAGGCTAAAATAACCCTTTGCTGAACCGGTGAGAGTGGGCACAGGGGGAGATAAGGAATTTATATTTGCAGCAATGGAGGCAGACTGAGACAGGAAACATGTTTGGGTAACATACTGAAATGCTTTCATGTCTGCACCAGTTTAACTGTCCAGTTATCAATATGAGTTTGTTCCCTAAATTGGGTGACTATATGAGCACATTTGTAAATGGATGGAACTATAGGACAAATGTGTCACATCGAGAGACACATTTGGGTTTATCATTTTTGCAACAAGCACAATTAACATAAAGCAGTTACTTTCCACTAAATGCTATACTGCTAAATTTTCAAAGAACATATTTATGTAGTAGATGTATTTTAAATTACTTTCTGGCTTAGAAATAGGATATTACATGTTTTTTTAAAAAGCAAACAATGACTGAGTAGCTTAGGGGATCAACTTTTCTGTTACCTCTGGGACATGACTTTAAATCTGGCTTTGAGCAAACTGAAGAAAAATAATTTCAGTCATATATATATATATGATCAGATAGCATGAGCCCCATGCAGGTAGCATAAACCCCAATTTTTTTAATGGTCCAGAATCAGATGTGCTTTGAGAGTTTTCTGACTTGGAGGAGCCGAAGGATTTTTGCAAAGATTATCTAAGTCTCAAAAAGAAGAAATGGATTGTGATTTCAATCTATAATAAGCAGCAGCCCTAATCACATCCTGAGCCAGAATAAGGTCACTGATATTTTGGATGCCGTGTTAACTGTAGAGGCAAGTAACATTTCTAGAGGAATTTACCATATTTGGGAACTAGAAATATAGACATATAGATGCAAAATGCTTGCTGCGAAGTGGTCTTAAGCACCACATAGCTGTTCTATTTAATCTCATTTGAAAACTGTGAAGAAAAGCTGGAAGAGGATTGGGGAAACATGGTGTGCCTTTTAAAAATATGGACAATACATGGCAAAATTAAATACTTAAATCTTCTCTAATTTAAGTGAAACAGGGTGTACGGGTGTACATTCACTGATAAGTCTGCATAATTCTGAATCTCACTAGTAATGTGTCTTGCTATGTCCAGTTTCTCTTGCATACTATACATTCATTTTATACAATCCTTGGTCATTTCAAAAACACCACCTATATTCAAAAGGGGCAATAATGGGCTCAGTATAAATTACATAGTAATTATTAAGTGAAGCATGCATTGCAACTTGTATTTGTATCTGTGCCTCCCATATTCATCCCTTTTAGTGTTTACTGAGAGGAGATGCTTTTATTTAAATCCCAGGAGTGGCATTAGAGTAGCCACAAGTGCATTGCCAAAAAGAGGGGGGGACATAGATTTTCATATAATTTGCATGTGTTAGTGGAAAGAGAAATATATGCACATGTGACTTAATTATCATAAACAGAGAGAGCCAGTTGGTGTAGTGGTTTGAGCATTGTACTACAACTCTGAAAATCAGGGTTCGATTCCCTGCTCTGTCATGGAAAACCACTGGGCAAGTCACACATTCTCAGTCCCAGAAAACCTCATGATAGGTTTGCCTTAGGAGTGCCGTAAGTCAGAAATGACTTGAAGGCACACAACAACAACAAATCATAAACACTGTAGATGTACAATGAATCTCACCACTTGGGGAAAGCCTGTGACCTGTGTGTCTATGACCAGTCCCTTGTCCAACTCATGACTATTGCTCAGCAACTTCAAGACCCTCTTTCTTCCTTTTGTTGAGTTTTGACATATAAAGAGAGATTGGAACCCTATCAAACAGAAGATGTCTTCAAATAAAGGATAGTCCTCTGTAAAGGAGGACAAATAACCACCCTTCATGGGAACAGTCTACTGCTGCTTTGATGGTTGGAGTCCTTTTTTAAAAAAAGCAAAACCATTTTATCAAACAGTAACCAAAATTCCTTTCAGGATTATAGTACAAAATCAGGGGCAGGAAAATTGTGTCCCATGGGTCACATGCAGCACCCCAGGGCTCCAAAATATCCCTCAGCACCCAACCCCCCTGAATTTTGTTTAAAATGTTTTACTTAATCCCCACTACACTCAGAAGGAGGCAGGGGGCATGTTGCAATGTTTTTGTCTCTTCTGCCCTTTTGTGATCCAGAGAGGTTTGTTTGTTTGTTTGTTTGTTTTTAATACTGGAAGTATGATTTAAGTAAGAAGTAAATAATAACAGATCATGAACTATTTATATCAAAAATCAGAGTAAAGTTGAATAAAAAAAACAAAAATAGTGATTGCACCAAAATATTATTTGAACAACATTCTGGCAGAATTTGCTAACAATGTAAGAAACAGATTTCTCTATTAAGTATAATCAACCAAGAACCAGAAAAATTATGAGGAGAAGCCAAGGATGTAATTAAGGAAGAATGCAGGAAGACAATAGCAGTACCAAAGCGGAGAAGAAACATTGGATGACAAATCAAATACTGCATGCAATAAAGGAAAGACAAAAGTTAAGGAAGACAGAAACGAAACCAGAACCATGAATGCAACTGTGCAATGACTAATGCATAAAATAAAGAGAAATATTATAATGATCAATGCAGAGAAATAGAAGACAACAACCAAAAAGGAAGAGTGAGAGACCCCTTACATAAAATCCGGGAACTCAAAGGGGAATTTCAATCCAAGGGCTGGGATGCTCTATGATAAGAAAAAGAACACACTGCAAGACCAAGAAAAAAATAAAAAGACACTGAGGCAATGCGCAGAAGAGTTATACAAAAAAGACGAAAAAATGAATGACACATGGGAGTGAAGAACCATATGAAAATAAATCCCAAATCCTAAAAATCGAAGTGGATGCTGCAATAGGAAACTGGGAAAAACAAATCAGCAGCAACAGACAATATTCCTGTTGAACTGCTATAGTACACACAGACAGATGCAACTCTAGTGCTAAACGACATATGTGAATAAATTTGGAAAACAAACAGCTGAAGCAGATGGCCTGGAAGGACTGGCCAGAGGCCACTCTGACTCTGATTGGGCCTGGATCCTGGCAATCAAAACTTGCTCCCAAAGTGGGCTGCCACCATGGTCCCAAACAGGCCACTAGCAGGAGAGGATTACATCCACTCCTAAAATGTCTGGCTCCTGCCATCTTAGCACAGCCATGGAGTGGCTTCCAGCTGCTTCAGGAGCATGCATCATCTGAATGCCATGCCCCCAATGTGACCAGAAGCCACTTTTTTGGCCCATCTGTTTTGGACTAAAGTGGTGGCTAGTAGACTTGAAACAGTCAATATATATCCCAATCCATGAAAAAGGAGATATAAGAAACTACAGTAATTACAGGACCATAGCATTAATCATGCAAGCAAAATTCTGCTGAAAATTCTGCAGCACAGACTCCAACCATGGAAAGAGAAATCCCAGAAGTTCAAGTGAGTTCAGGAACGGAAGAAGAACTAGGGACCACATTGTAAACATGTGATGGCTAATGGAGAACACCAGGGAATTCCAAAAGAAAACAAGCATGTGTTCTATAGACTATAGAAAGGCCTCTGACTGCATAGATCACAAAAAGCTATGGATGGCTCTTAATGTTGGCTTCTTCTATGTCCTGCAGGCATGCATCAACAAAAACAAAAACCAGGCCCATTAGAAAAGCCAACTATCAGCACTGTCTGAGATGTTTGACCTCAACAGTAGCTATTAACACAGCAGAGTTCAAAAGCACAAACTCAGTTAATAGTATTTGGCAATATTACACTGATCAACCTTGAATGATGCACAGACATAGTTGGATTCTTCCATAAGCCCTTGGAAGCTTTTATCACTTGTTGCAATATGTACAAGTTATATACAAAACTCTCCTGTAACTTTCACCAACATTCACTGTCTGATATACAGCAATTCACTCTCTACAAACAACACACCAACCCACTCTACAAACCACTCTCTTCATTGACCCACTATCTTCAACCCACATCTGCCATGGGTTTTGGAGCACTTATATACAGTGGTGATGACTAAGAGTTGAAACCTGATATTACTTTTCATTTACAGCCATATAAACTATTTTACAATGTCTTAAAGGAACCTTGTTCTCAACACTTAAAAACATGGGAGTGCCACTATACCTAATAGTCTTGATGAGACAGCTATACTTAGAAGAAGAGGTTACTGTCAGAACAGAATTCGGAGAAACAGATTGGTTCCCAATTGGCAAAGGGGTCAAATAAGGATGCATTCTGTCACCCAACTTGTTCAACATGTATGCAGAAAACATCATGAGACTAGCAGGTTTAGACTCAGAAGAAGGAGAGTGAAGATGGGAGGAAGGAATGTCAATAATCTTAGTAGATTGCTGCACTATACTCTTATAGTGCTGCTATAGTGCTATTTTACTACTCTGCCTGCCTCCTGTTACATTCTGGGTTTGTAATTCAGTGAGGCCTAAAAGCTCTCTGGCTGAGAATTCTAAATGCCCCTCCTTAAAATGCAAATCCCAGAATGTAACAGGAAGCAGCCAGAGCAGTAAAACTGGAATAACACTATAAGAGTGTAGTGCGGCAATCTCCAAGGATATGCAGATGACACCATATTAATAGTGTAAAACATCACAAATTTAGAACAATTACTAAAGAAGTTCAAAGATGAATGTGCAAAGGCGCACTTAATGCTGAACATAAAGAAAACAAAAATAATAACCATGGAAGAAATACGTAAATTCAACCTAGATAATGAAGATATTGGAATAGTTAAAGAGTTCCCGTACCTAGGTTCAAACATCCATCAAAATGGTAGCTGCAGCCAAGAAATAAGACGACTAGGAATGGGAAGGTCAGCTTTGAAAATACTAGAGAAGATCCTAAAGAGTAAAGACATACAACTGAGCACTAAAGTCAGAATCAGCCAAGCAGTAATATTCCTTATCACCATGTACGGATATGAGAGCTGGACAGTGAAGAAAATGGATAGGAAAAAAATCAACTCATTTGAAAGATAGTGTTGGAGAAGAGTGCTGAAGATATCATGAACAGCCAAAAAGAAAAACAAATGTTTGTTCACTTAGAATAAATAAAGCCTAAACAAATAATAATTGTAATTTGGGGCAGGGGCCAGCCCTCCAAGTCTGTGGGAAGGTATATGTAGCTCCACACCTCTGGAAATTGCCTACTCTTATAATAAATAGTAAAACTCATATCACCAGCATTTCTTGGGAATATGATCTTCGTTCCTCCCAGAGCTCAAAACAGTTTTGAGTTCCTAAACTCCCTTTCTTCTTCCTTTCAAAGTCAGTGCCAATAATATCATTATTGATTTGATCACATTTACATCCCTCCTTTCGCCTAGCAATACCAAGACAGCATAGATGATTCTCTCCATTCAAGAGCAGGTCTATCACTTGGGTAAGACTGTACATAGTCACTAGGTGAGCTGACTGTTTAGACCTGGAGATCCTTGGTCTTATACCACCTTTCTAACTATTCCACTGCACTGCCTGATTAAGAGCCATCATTTGTAAGGTAGACAAGAATGAGAGCTTGGAAAAGTTATTTGAGGACTACAACTCTCAGAGTCCTCCAGCCATTCAAGCTCTGTGCAATGCTCCCTTACATTGAGTCAGACTATTGGTCCATCTAGCTCAGTATTGTCTATACTGACTTGCAGAGGCTCTACAGGGTTTCAGATGAAGGTATTCCCAATCTCAGCCCTGCTGAAGATATCAGGGACTGAAACCAAGACAATTTGCATGCATAGCATATTCTCTTATGCTGTTATCAATCTTTCCCTGATTTATGACCCTTCCATGTGAGAGGCCCAATGTCTAGAACTTCCATTCTGGCTATCTGTCTCCCACATTTAGCTATATTCCCATGATGATAATAATAATAATAATAATAATAATAATAATAATAATAATAATAATAAGTTTTATTTTTAACCCACCCTTCTGCTCAGCAATCGGGGTGGTGTGCAACCTTATAAAAACAGTAAGCAATTAAAAGATTCCCAAATCCCATACCCTAACCCTCCCAACCCTTAAAACTAGATCAAACCAAGAAAGAATTAAAATGAATTTAAACATAGATACAAATAAACAATTTTGGGGGCAGTATGTAAACAGTGGCAGATTGGGGAGCGGGTAGCAAACCTCCGCCATTTGCCGGGAAGTTATTCCAGGAAGGCCTGCCGGAAGAGATCCGTCTTTACTGCTTTCTTAAAAGCAGCAAGAGTGGTAATAAGATGGATTTCATCCAGCAGGCCATTCCAAAGTCTGGGAGCAGTCGCAGAGAAGACCCTCTGGGAGGTCTGCAAAAACCTGGTTTTCATAGGCTGCAGCAGGTTCCTCCCAGTGGACCTAAGGGCGCACGGGGGGTCATACGGGAAGAGGCGGTCCCTGAGATAAGATGGGCCCAAGCCATGTAGGGCTTTAAAGGTTAAAACCAACACCTTGTACTGTGCCCGGAAACTAATCGGCAGCCAGTGGAGGGATTTAAGCACAGGTGTTATATGC